TATCCGAAGAATGCAAGATGTTTCCACTACGTTTTCACTAAAACTAATTTAGCGTTTGTTTGAGGAAGCTGGTTCGTTGTGGGTCGCATGGACTCGCTGTTATCTTCTTCGAGACAATTCTTTTTAGGACATTTCAGAGAACACCACTAGAAGTTTATGGATGTGGAAGAAGCTGCTTAAGCTAAGACCGATAGCTGCAACATTTATTAAATTTGAAGTAAGAGATGGGAAATCCACCTCTTTCTGGTTTGATAACAGGTTAAATGTGGGACCTTTGATTCACATCACCGGTGAAGTTGGTACAAGAATTTTGGGTGTAAGCCGTAATGCTAAAGTTGCTGATGCAGCAGAGGGAGACAATTGGAAAATCAGGCAGACGTGCGGTCTCCATATTCTAGACATGATCCAGCAAATCAGACAAGCTCCAACGCCATCGAGTTCAGCTGGTTCGGATCGTGTACTATGGTTGCAAGGTCCTAATAAATACGAGATGAAGTTCTCCACCCGACGCACTTGGGAGCAGATCCAGCAAGCTCACCATGTCGTCCCCTGGCATAGTATTGTCTGGTTCCCTCAAGTTATTCCAAGACAAGTCTTCATATTGTGGCTGATGTTTCGAAATAGATTATCCACATGAGATCGTATGCACCAATGGGGTATGAATCCATCTTGTTTGCTATGTGGAGAACCCAACGAAACTCGTGATCATCTGTTCTTTGCGTGCCCTTTCTCCTACACGTTTTGGGCAATGTTAACTTCAATGCTTCTCGGATCAAGGATAAATCCTAATTGGACCTTGATGGTTAATTAAGTGTTTGGCTATATAGTGAGTTAATGTCGAGAAAAAATATGTATTAGTCTCTAATGATTTTGCTGATTTTTTTAGTTATGAAATATTGTCCCCGGAAATCCATGTTTTGTTTCTAATCGTTTACTACAAAACTAATCTAGGTTACATATTTAATCAGCATAAAACGTACTCTAATACTAATAAGCACAGACGTTTACAAATTCTAATTCTAATATTATTGAGCATCCAGTATAGTAATTAGTAGAACTAGATTTATACCCACGCGTTGCGTGGGATATCATTTTTAATATGTCA